CTAGGGTTTGTCAACATCTTGTTTCCTCACACCCTGGCTTGGGACTGCCCTCTGTCTTTGTAGGCACCAAGAATCCTTGAGATGTTTCTTATGTTAATTAAAGGGAGACCTGAAACTCTGGACAGCTCAGCTGTGATCACTGACGTGCCGTTTGTGTTCCCATTCCAGTAAGCACTTAGATTCGTTGCTGCAGTGGTGACTTTAACCGGGCAGTCTGGCTGAGAAGTTAGAGCTCTCTGGTGCCTGAGCCAGGACTTGGCAGTGTGGTCAGCAGACTAGTGTTGGTGCTGGAACTGTTAACAATCTAGGACAAAATAAGAGTAGAATTTGTGTAAGCATCTAGAAACCTTTATAGAAATTTTGTTAATTGACTCTGATGATAGAAGTTTTGTGCCTGGCTTTTGTGTCTTTTATTTTTAAATTTCATTTTTCTAGAAATTTCTTTTCACTATATTTTACAAAAGTATTGATCTATGACAGGTTGGAAATCAAAACAAAACAAAGTTGGTCCTTCACCACAGATAGTTTGAAGAGTATGGGCCTAAGCCATGTAAAATCAGTTTCAATTTTTAAAATCTTTTCATTTCCTCTTCTTTGAGAGTTTTTTGAAAAAGATATTCTATAGTGTGCACAAGTAGCAGATGCCTATGACTGGTTAGTCTTGAAGAGTTCTAAGAAATACAAGTGGCCACAGATTACAGAGGGCTACAATTACAAAACCCTGTAAAACATACCTCTCTGTGGTAAGGAGGGTGAAGGGCTTTTTTCATTTAGAGACACAGAGAATTAGCAGCTCCAGTTGTATGACTTTAGTCATGGGTCAAAAACAAATACAGGACCGCACAGACAACACAGAGAATTCTGTTAATTGTTTGGGAACAGAATAGTCAGTGTAGCAGAAAGCAGCTCTTGGGACTTCTCATTCCGTAGTTGAGACGATCCCTCAAACTGACCAAACCGTGGTTTTGTGACTGCCTAAGAGGTGACCCAGATGCCAGGATCTCGTAATCCTCAAGACCAGCAAAGAGACAAACGTGAATGCCACCAACAGGGAACGTGGGTGTTAGAATCAAATACAGAACTATCCAGAGGAGTCAAGGAAGGCTTGACGGTGGAAATGTTGCCAGTTTGAGAATTTAAAGCACAGATAGGATTTTGACAAACAGATGAAAGCGCTAAACTGTAGAACAGAATCACATTCTATCATGGAAAACTGCTTCACTGTTATGATGGTAACATGATAACACTGGTTTATCTTTCTCAAAATGTTTTGGCCTACTCTTTGAAGACTTATGAAGAATTTCGCCATTGATTTTGGGCCACAGAGGTATATTCAGATTCTGTCGTGTTTTCAATTTAGCTTCTCCCTTGCCGTGCTTGATATTATGAGTAGTGATTTTTCATCGCCAGTGTATCGGCTCTTTTGCCCACTCTGGAGATGCAGTCTTTCTTTTTAGGAAGCAGTTGATACCATACTTCATTTCGTCATCCTTCATATCTAATTTGGGCAGCAAAAGAGATGGCTGAAATGATCAGAAGTACAGTTGATTTTGTTTGATGATCCAGCAGCCTTGCTAAATTCATTTATTAATTCCAGTAGTTTATCCGTAGATTCTTACAGATTTTCTTCATACATAATCATGTAGTCTGTGAATAATAATAGTTTTATTCCTTCCTTCCCAGCCCTGTGCTTTACTTATCTTTTTTGCCTGTGGAACCTGGCTAAGACTTTCAGAACAGTATCATCTTAGAAGTGGTAGTGGTGGGCATCCGTGACATATTCCCAGTCGTGAGGCGGAGTGGGACTCTTCACTAGTGTTTAAGTTTAATGTAGATACTCTTCATCAGATTAAGGAAATTTCTTCCTATTTCTACTTTACTAAGAGTTCTTTTTTTTTTTTTTAACTTTATTTATTTATCCCCCAAAGCCCCAGTAGATAGTTGCATGTCATAGCTGCACATCCTTCTAGTTGCTGTATGTGGGACTCGGCCTCAGCATGGCCGGAGAAGCGGTGTGTCGGTGTGCGCCTGGGATCCGAACCCCGGGCCGCCAGCATCAGAGCGCGCGCACTTAACCACTAAGCCACGGGGCCGGCCCTACTTTACTAAGAGTTCTTATCGTGAGTGGTTGGGTAACTTTATCAGATGCTTTTCTGCATATATTAAGAAAACTATGGCTTTCCTCCTTTCTGAAAATATGATGAATTATATTGATTTTTTTTTTTTAATTAAGACTATACTTTTAGAGCAGTTTTAAGTTCACAACAAAATTGAAGGGAAGGTACAGAGATTTCCCACATACCCCCTGCCATGGATACATGCATAGCCTCCCCCATAATCAACATCCCCCACCAGAGTGATACATTTGTTACAATCAGTGAACCTACATTGACACATCATAATCATCCAAGGTCCATAGTTTACCTTAGGGTTCACTCTTGGTGTTGTACATTCTATGGGTTTGGACAAATGTATAATGACATGTATCCATCATTATAGTATCATACAGAGTATTTTCACTGCCCTAAAAATCCTTTGTGCTTCACCTGTTCATCCTTCCCCCACCCTCCAACCTCTGCATCCACTGAAATTTTTACTATCTCTATGGTTTTGCCTTGGCAGAATGTTATATAGTTGGAATGATACAATATGGAGCCTCTTCAGACTGGCTTCTTTCACTGAGTAATAGGCACTTAAGGGTCCTCCATGTCTTTTCATGGCTTGATGGCTCATTTTTTTTTTCTACTGCTGAATAATATTCCATTGTTTGCATATATCACAATTTGTTTATCCATTCACCTACTGAAGGACATCTTAGTTGCTTCCAGGTTTTGGAAATTATGAGTAAAGCTGCTCTAAACATTGATTGCTTTTTGAATGTTTAGCCACCTTTGTATTCCTCACATAAACTCCTCTTGGTCATAATATATTATTCTTTTTAAATATTGCTTGATTAAATTTTCTAATATTTTGTTCAAATTTTTGCTCCTGTGTTTATAAGAAAGATTGATTTGTACCCTTTCTCATATTGTCCTTGTCAGGTGTTGTATCACTGTTTTGCTGGTCTCATAAAACAAGTTGGGAAATGTTCCCTATTTGTGCTCTAGAAGAATTTCTGTAAGATTAATATTATTTCTTCCTTAAATTGTTGGAAGAATTCAAATATTCCTTTGTAGGAAGAATTTTAATTAAAATTGACTATCTTTGATAAACTAGATCTATTTAGATTTTATATTTCTTGTTTCAATTTTGGCAAGTTGTACTTTGCAGGGAATTGTGCATGCATCTAAATTTTCAAATTCATTGGCATAAAGTTGTTCATAGTATTCTCTTATTGATATTTTGATATTCTTTCAGTACCTCTTATTATTAATATTCCTTTATCTGTTCTCCTTCATCCTTGATAGTGCTAGTTTTTGCCTTTTTTCTTTTTTCCTTGATTAGTCTTGCTAGAGATCTTTCAGTTGCGTTATTCTTTTCAAAGAAATAACTTGATTTCGTTCACCTTCTAAATTGTACTGTTAGATTGAATATTTAGATCATTAACTTCCAATCTTCATTTCTAATATATACATTTAAAAGTATAGATTTTAATCTAAGCACAACTCGATCTGCATCCAGTTTTGATATTTCTTTTCATTGTATCATTCAATTCAAAATACTTTGAGTTCCTTTTTGGTAATGGGTTAGTTGAAATATGTTGCTTGATTTCAAGGCAATTGGGGATTTTCTAGTTCTTTTGTTGTTGTCCAGCTTAATGCTAGACATAGCATACTCTAGATAGTTTTAGTCCTTTGATATTTACTGAGTCTTGGTCTTTCATTCAGCCTGTGGTCAGTTGTAGTAAATATTTCACTTGCAGAGATGGATTGCTATTGGGCGTCATGTTTTCTGTGTCCGTTAGCTCAAGTCTGTCAATCGTGCTGTTTAGGTCTTGTGTGTGGTGCCCAAAGCGGCAGGGTGTGACCAGGTGCTTCTAACCCTCCACCTGCCTTCAACTTCCCTTTGCTGTTAGAGGCTCCTTCTGGGCTTGGGCTCAGGATTGGTGACAACCAGCAGAGCGTGTAACTCAGTTCTCCACCCCACCCTTCTCACCAGAGTCCCAGGCCCCATGCCCTCGTAATTGGGTCTCCCACTGCCAAAAGCTCTGCTGTTTCTTTCTCATTAGTGGCTTTTTCTTGGATCCTCAGGCTCTTGAAGACCCAGAATGGGCAAATGTCCTTGGGAAAAGTCAGCCATGAAGTACCCCCATCGTGTCACTTTTTGTCTTGGTTGCCTCAGAATGTCTCGGACTCCAAACGTTATTTGGATTGTTCTTTGATCTGGCTTTTCTAAGTTTTCTCAGTGGGAGTTTTAGTCTTGCCCAAGCTATTCTCTCATATTCAAATGGAAGTCCTCCAGGCACACTTCAAAAAAATTTGGTTGTTTATGCTTTTTGGTTTGGTTTTGTTTTCAGTCTGACTCTCCTGCTAACTGACTGACTAAGCAGGAGGACCTTGTTTTAACTATAGTTTTTTCATCACCAGTGCCTAGTATACATAATGACTACTTATTGAATTTTTATTATATGAAGAAACAACTTGTGTCTCATGTAAAAATTTCAAAAGTAAGCAGCAAAATTAACATATTTGGCTTTCTTGTGAGATTTTCCCACAAATTTAAAGGCTGTGATTTTAAAAGAAGAGGGAGGGTTAAGTTACATTGGTTATAGATAACAGTGAATTTTTGACAGAGCTGAATTAGGACTCCTGGCCTTTAAAAATTTTGATTAACAAATGTTTATTATGCTGCCGTGAATCAGGTACTGCTCTGGGTGCGGGGAGAATACTGTGATTATCTTGGTAGATAGGTCACACTTCTTCTCAAGTTCCCCTTCTGCATATAACGTATCATAGGGAGAGAGTATAGAACAGCGTTTTTAATATAAGTATCAACATATCACATTTCAATCGATAGATTCCAAATATTGTACACTGAAAATTATTTTTTTTCTCTTACAGAATATGACAGATACCTAGCATCTAGCAAAATAATGGCAGCAGCTTACCTTGATCCAAACTTGAATCACACACCGAATTCGAGTACCAAGACTCACCTAGGTACTGGTGTGGAACGGTCCCCTGGGGCAATGGAGCGAGTGTTAAAGGTCTTTCATTACTTTGAAAGCAACAGTGAGCCAACCACTTGGGCCAGTATTATCAGGCACGGAGATGCCACTGACGTCAGGGTAAGTGTGTTTTCCTAGGAGACATCCTTAGTGTGTATTTAGGTTAACTGTTATTGGCACATACCACAAAAAGAGAAAGTAATAACTATTATTCCCATATTACAGAGATGTTAACTTTTTCTTTATAATATTTATTCAGTTAATATGTGACTGACCAGAGTTTTAATTGTTGTAAAATTTCTTAGGAAAATAATAACTGAATCATATATTAGTCATGTAGTGCCTTTGACTTGTTTTTCTCTCCTGTTTTAACTCTTTGAAGGGTACAAGGAAACAAAGCAATTAAAATAGCCTCTCATACTTATGCAATAAGAAATTATTTTCTAGAAAGTGTAATTTTGAAGATATTTGCATGACTCTAAATAGGATAGATTCTTCCAAAACTGATGATGATCTTCTGTATACCAGACACTGGCAAGGTTCTGGGATATAGAAAATCCCTGCTCGTACAGCTTGCAGTCTACTGGGGGAGACGCTCGTGGCCCTAATGAGTGCAGTACAGAAAGTGCTTCCTGAGGCATTCCAGCTGATGAGGAAGCCTGCAGGAGTAATTCCTGAAGGTAGGAGTTAGCCTGGAGAGAGTGTCCTCTGGGTGGTGAGGGAGAGTTGGTGATAAAGAATTGTGGGACAAGCACATTGTAGGCACAGGTTGTGAGAGTCAGGAGTGAGAAGGTAGCACTGTGATTTTAGAGAACTGAGTGCAGTATGTACATTTGCAGGAAGTGTTTACTCTGGTCAAGTGTTAAAGAAACCCCTCCTCCTTCCTGCCCTCCTCCACTTAGTCCATATTCATCTTTTAAAGAGCACAAGTGTCCAGGGAGTAGGACAAATAGATATGTCTTTTGTACTCTCTTTCTTTTTGTAATACTGAAACAATTTAATTTGCTACTCTTTAACTTATATGCCTTAACTATTTTTGAGTAAAATAAAAGGATTGATAGAATCTAGATTTAAGGCTACAATATTACATTTGAATTATATGTAATTTTCTGTTACCTCTGTAATATTGTAATGTTGACTGTTCAATTGGATTAATTATTAAAAGGAGAATCCTTCAGGATTGAAATATGTGTTAATATCTATTTGTGAGCTATAATTGAAATATAATAGTCTCTTTTTACAGACTTTTTATGAAGCTTGCTGGCTTTTTCTATAGTTCTGTTTTATATTTAACCTTATAAACACCATCACTTGGTAGAAGAGCCAGCAGCTAGTATTCTATCTTAACATTAATCAGGTAATTCATGCTGAGAAATCTTGGAAATGTAACATTTATGGGAAGGCTCTTAGTGTATTTTCTAGTCTTTGTAAATTTCTAATGCAATGAATGAGGAAATTCTTTAAACCATTGCATCAGCCTTAATAAACTTCAGAGCATTTGTACAGGAGGGGGACCTTTTAAAGATTATGAATTTGACAAGATGTTTAGCAAATGTTCGAGATTTATTGTATCAGAAAATTCACCTGGGAAAGACTCCATGACAAATGTGTTTTAGTATCAAACTTACTGCACATGAAAGAATTAATACCAGGAGAGAACCAGGGATCACTGGGCATATGTCAGCCTTTAGCCAGTGTTAAAAACTTGCCAGATATCAAAACATTTGTATTGTGAAGATACAATAAACCAGATACAAATACATAAGTTATGAGAACTTATTTGTCAGACTTTTATGAAGATCAATACTAGCAAATCTATGTGGCCAAAAAGCAAGTTGTTTTATTTCATAGTAAAATGTTTGAACTTTAATAACTCTTATCAGTTGATGGTTTTCAACTTGAGGCAGAGAAATCTCTATTGGCATTGATTCCCCATAGCCCATTCCTGGAATAGCATAAAATCCGCAAGATACTGGGTCACTGTGATGGAAGGTGGATGCTTTTCATAACCTACTTTCATTTAATGCTGTAACATTTGAAAATGCAGTATTTTAATTGTAAATTAATTAATGGATGTATCTGCACATCTGAACAAAATAGTACTGAAGAACATGTTCGTGACATCTTTCTCCCCAAGAAGAGGCATCAAACAGAGGAACATTATGGATACAGAGACAAGCATATATTGTTAGGCGAGAGTAAGATGGGAGAAACGTGCAGCATTTAATGGCCTGATGACTTTAGAACAGAAACAGGGTGGGGCGGGGAGGCGGGGTAAGTTAAGATTGGAAGTATAGTCACTTGGCAGAAATAGACCATTTGATGGTAGTGAAGAGGAAGCTAACTGTTTTCTGAAGGGGATAGCTTGTTGTTATCCAAATTTACTGAATAATTAGATTCAGTCTTAGAGTCTCTATTGCTACACTGCCCGGTATGGTAGCCATGCACAACTATTGAACACTTGAAATGTAGCTGGTCTGAATTGATGTTTTGTAAGTATGAAAATACACACCAGATTTCAAAGATTTAGTATGAAAAAAGAAAGTAAAATACCAATAATTTGTTATGATTGTATGTTGAAAGAATAATGTTCTTGATATACTAGGTTAAATAAAATATATTATTAAAATTGAATTCACTTGTTTCTTTTTACTGTGGCTACTAGAACTTTTAAAATGATGTGTGTGGCTTGCATTATATATCTGCTGAGAAGTTGTGCTCTATAGAAAGTATCAGAGAGACTGCTTAACTCAGAAGAACCAAAACCTTTGGAGGAGTTGAAAGATTTATTTTCACCAGGAAAATATCTGGATTTTGGTAGTAATTCATTACAGAGGTTTTATTTCTCCCCTGCTTCAATTAATAAATTTTACTCCTTTTACGTATATGTGCTCATTATACATTAATTAGTTTAAATGTTTGGTTGCTGGAAGGATTCACAGGACTCCACCATTTATAGGCAAGGTATGCAGAAGAGCAATAGTAGGAAAACAGTACTCGTTGCAGGGATCTGGAGGTCTCAGGTGCAGGCCTCATGGCCCTCGACGCTGACAAACCATCACTGGCCTACTTGTGCAGCACCTGGGTAGGGGGAGGGCTAAAGCCTCTTTGTGGTGGGGGTCTGTTGGATGGGCACATTCCATCTATGTAACCAGCCTTCACTTGTGTAACTGCCCAAGTGCCACCCAGATCAGGTGCAAGTTATAAATCCAATTATGATTACTAAACAATACCAACATGCTTGTATGTTCTGCCCCTAGATGATCAGTAGCCCATGGTTGCAAACATCACTTATCTTGGCCATAGCTTTTCCCAAGTGTCAGTACCATGCTCCAGGAAACTCGGGAGATAAATATGGGTCGATCCAGAAGAGCCAGGATTAACCCATGCTGGACAGTATTGAATAAGATTGGTCATCTAGAAACATTGCAGTGATACTTCACTATCACTCTTTATAAATAGAGTATAGAGAAAATTCCAAATTCTACCAGAAAAGTCTGCTACTTAGGAAAAAGAATGATATTTACGTCATCATTAAGTCATTACATAAATTACGTCATGACTTTTCATCAGTGATACTAGAAGCAAGAAAATATTGGAACAGTACCTATAGAGGACGCAGGGAAAATAACATGTAGTTCCAAAGTCTATACCAGGTAAATTATCAGTCACGAAAATGTGGGATGAAGGTGTCTCTAGAGAAAGAAGGAGGTAGGAAGTTAATACTGTAGGCTTTCTTTGAAACAACAATTAGATCACATAATGAGCTTGAGAAAAAGTGAACCCAGAAGGAACTGCTGTAGGAGGCTGCAAGAGGCAGCAGCCCACCACCAGACTGCTGCCGGTCTCCTGCACCTCTCTTACGTCTTCGTAGTCTCTCAATGCTGTGACCGTGGGTTAGTGCACCTCTCCACCTGTTCCACACCCGTAGCCTCGTTCTGACTGGACTCATTCTAAATTAGTGACCTTAATGCCACCCCGCTGCATCTATACCTCTCTTCTCTGCCTTTACGCTTCTTACTCCAAAAGAACCGTCCAGTGTTTCAGCCCAAGGGTTTCCCCTTCTTTTAGTCACTCAAGTCCCTTGGAATCATCTTCTACTCCTCTTTTGCTTATGCTCTACAGCCGATATGTTAGCTAACCCTGTCCACGTTATCTTCAGAATATACCTAGAATCCACGCACTTCACAGGACCTCCGCTGCAACAGCTTTCTTCGAGCCCACCGTGTGTCGTGTGCACTGGCACATGGTCTCCTGACTGACATCCCGCTTTCCCCTCTTGCCCCCCTTGGTCTGTTGACAGCCCAGCTGCCGGAACAATCCTGTTTAAATGAAAGCCAGACTATGTCACTCCTGTACTCAGAACCTTCCAGTGGCTTCGTGTCTCATTTAGAGTGAACACTCAAGTCCTTCAAGAACCCTAACCCTCTCCTCTCCCCATCATGCCCTGTGACCTTCCGTCCTACTGGTCACTCACTTTTACTTTCTGCTTCCTGGACTGTTCCTCTAACGTGCCAGTCTTCTAGTCAGTAATTTGCTCAGAACCTCCAGTCGCTCTCCATTTCTCTCGGAGAAAAGCCAGATTCCTTCAGTGCCCAAAAGGACCTATGGGATCTGGCTCCTTGTTGCCTGTTCTTATCTTATTTCCCACAACTGTCCTCACTCGCTCTGCTCTCCTGTCCGCCCAGCCCAAGAGTGCTCCCTCTCCCCCACCTTTTCTGTTCCTCGTAATCCTGTTTTGTTATATTTTCTTCAGATGTTTTGTCCTTATTGAAATTGTCCTGTTTCTTGATTTGTTTGCTCATTATTATCTGCTTTCTTCCACTAGACTGTAAGCTCTGTGACAGCAAGGGACCTTTCTGCTTCGTGATATTGTCACAGCCTCTTCAACAGTGCCTAGCTGACACACAGCATGTGCTCGACTGATACCTTTTTGGATGACTATATGAAATCCTAGATGAAATGGAGTACTTCTGATAGAAATAATTTAATTAGGAAAATTGGTTGCAGAAGTAGAAAGGCTTAATAGACTAATAATCACAAAAGAAATTGAATTGATAGTCAAAGAGTACACCTATCTAAAACCGTACCTGGCCTTAGTGATGTTTCTATCAAACCTT